AACAAATATTACAAATCGAGTATTACCTACATCAAGTAATATTGTCATGGAACGTTTCTATTCCTATGGTATTGGTTCTGGTGTTCCACTCAAACCAGGTGGTAAATCAGCTGCTGTTGTGGCAATACAGTAAGTGAAAAAAAAACACAGACAATATTTCATTTCTGCACTGGCTAAGATCTATCATAGTATTACATAAATCAATCCATTAATCAGGAATATGTGTATGTGTTTGTTCTCTGATCAACTAGTTTGATTGTTGAATGGTATGCGTAGTATTATTAGTAGTAATGTTACCCGCCTTCCTCTTACGAGTGTGTAATCTGATGCTAGATAGTTTGAGAAGAAAGCCCAACTGTGCATGACACCATATGTTAAGGATAATGTATGATGTTGCCGACATTGATATGCATGTGTCCGAACTGTTGTTTTACTATTGACACTATTGATTTTCGATAAAAGTAAACAAACAAACAAAAAAAAAGAGAAAAGATTGTTTTTTCAAGCAATTCTTACAAATTTTGTATAAAATTTAAGTATCTAGAACACATACTAAACTATTCTAATTAAGTTTCTCTAAAGACTTCCATGACGTGTATCTATCAACATATGTCGCTTGTCATTATTGGAATATCTTTGGTAACATTCTACGAAGGACATAAAGAGAAAAATATGTTATTTACTCTAAAACGTCATAATAAGAGATTTCTTTATGAGATAAAATAACATATATAAATGGATGTACAAAATTGGAACTTGTTTCTTATAGGATCACAAAGGTGATTTTCTAATTGAAAAAAGAAATAATCATAATAATAATAATATATCTTATTCTCATGAGCATATGGAGAAATGAATGAATTGTCTTCTATCTTTCTTTTTTTTATAGAGAAAACCGTGAACGCGAAAAACGGGAATTAACTCATCTAAATGATCGTTTTGCTTCATACATTGAACGTGTACGATATTTGGAAGCACAAAATAAAAAACTTCAACTTGAACTTGAACATCTACGGTAAGTTTTTCTATTTTCTAATTCATTCAAATAAATGAAATTAGCTTCTTTTGTTTTAAGTGGAAAATGGGGTACACAAACAAATAAAGTTAAAGAAATGTATGAAGTTGAAATACGTGAAGCTCGCCAAGTTATTGATGATACAGCAAAAGATCGTGCTGCAGCTGAACTTCGAGCTAAACGTGCTGAAGAAGAAACATTAAGATTTAAAGACAAGTATATAAAAATCTATGTTTTATTTTTCTTTTAATTACTTTAAAATGATCTTCATTTTTCAAGATATGAAACATTATTAGCTGGAAGAGACTCCGATCGACAAAAAATCGACGCATTACAAAAACAATTGGCCGACAATGAAGCTGATCTTAATCTGTTTCGACGTCGTTTAGGTAAAAACAAAAATTATTTTCTTTTTGAAATGTTTCAATATTTTATGGAAAAAAAAAATTTTTTATTTTTGTTTTTTAGCCGATTTAGAAGATGAGCAAAAACGTTATCGTGCGGAATCACAAAAGCTCATCTTAGATATTCAACGTGTTACACAAGATTTAGATCATGAAACAATAGCACGCGTACAACTAGAAAATGAAAAACAAAGTCTTGAAGAGGAAATTAATTTTTTAAAACAAATTCATGCACAAGAAATTGAAGAATTAAAACAAGCTAATCTTGTTGGTACAGCATTAGATCCAGCTAATTTTTTTAAACATGAATTATCGAATGCTATACGAGATATACGAGAAGAATATGAACAACTTAATAATCAACAACGTAATGAACTTGAATCATGGTATCGTTTAAAAGTTACACAAGCAGTAAGATATTTTGATGATTAATTAATACATATGTATATATATATATATATATGATGTTATTTTTTTAATTAGGTACAAGAAATTCAATCTCGTCGTGCTATTGAAGCACCAGAAAATATTCGTGAAAAAGAAGAAGTTAAAAAATTACGAACATTAGTTACTGATTCACGAAAAGATATTGCTGCTATGAGACAAAGAGTAATTATTTAATATAAGAAATAGACTAATAATTATGTTTTTTGTTTTTTATTTAGAATGGAGAATTAGAAAATCGTATTCACGAATTAGAAGAACTCGTACAAATTGAACGACGTGAAGGTATTCAAGCATCCAATGAACGTGATCGAGAAATACAAGAATTACGAGCTCGTCTTGAAGAATTAGGACGTGATTATGATGAACTTGTTACAACGAAATCATCTCTTGATGCTGAAATTGCAATTTACAGAAAATTGCTTGAAGGAGAAGAAAACAGGTATGATGAAAAACTAATATGAATACAGAAAAATTCTCATAAGAATTTAATCATTTTCTAGACAAGGTTTAAAACAAATAGTTGCAAATGTTGAAGAACAAGCTCGCATGGACTTTGCTGCTGCTGGTGGAAATAGTGGTGGGTTTAGCTCAGCAAGTGGTGGTGGTGGTGGTACCGGCGGCACTGGTGCTGGTGTAACATCACATTCTTATTCACGTTCTTATCGTACAACAAGTGGCGGTCAAGGTAAGTGATGATATATACACCCAACTACACTATGCACCCCTGTTATGTTACTCCTTGTGTTAATGCACACGTTGCATGTCGGGTATCAATATTTATCCTTGCTTCATTTTTCTCTTGCACGATCCTTCAAATAAAAATAATGAAATGTTAAAAAAGTAAAATTCATATCGATAACGACCGAATGTCAAATCTTGACACAGTAAAAGAGTAATGATTATACATATATATAGTGCTTAAATGTTATTTTCTTTTTTTGTCTATAAAGATAAGAGATTCATTTAATTTTTTTTTCAATCGACCGTAAATAATAACTCTAAACGAAATCATTCATCAAACCATCCATCGTATGATTTATTTTTCTAGGTTTGATTGGCAATGAATGAATGTATTAATCATCAAATATTTAATTAATACAAACATAATGAACATAGTTTATGCTACTAGTCAATTGTTTCGTTTCGTTTCTTTTTTTTTCTGTTAGCAATGTGTACATTAATTAACCAATCTTTTTTTCCTTCGTTAGAGCTCCTTTTCTTTTTCTTTGTATTGAAAACAAAACGAGTAGGAAAAGGAAATTCGACATAAAAAATCCATTTCATCAATTAAAGCAACTCGTTTTATTCATTTCCGAACAAAAAGAAAGAAATTTGTCTCTTCTTCTGCTTCTTTTTTTGCATAGAACAACGAAGAAGAACAAAGAAAATTTTTTTCTTTTTTTCTTTTTTTTTATTATCATATTTTTCTTTTGAAGGAGCAGAAATTTGCATGTTTGCACCGCTTCTCCTCTTGCCTGTTTAGTGTTGTGATTGTATGAGTATTTTATATTGTATTTAGCTAGTTTACAAATAAATAATGGGTGTTTGAAAGAATATACAAAAAATTTAGGATCAGCATGTTGTCAAAAAATATTATTTGTTCGGTAATCTCTATATAACTAGAAATTTGCATTGAACCAATGAACTAGAAAATGAGATGTATGAATACGTCATAATAAAAAGATAATTATTTTGCTGAAAGAGAACCGAACGGAAGATATTATTGATTAATAAGGTTGAAATAAATATTTTTCTCGTCATAATTGTCGCTGTTGTTGTTGTTGTTATCGTCATCGTCGTCGTCATTCAATGTTCGTCTTAAATTTTATAATTTAATAAAAATCAAAGAATATCATCATTCTTATAGAATCCGAAGATCGATCATCAACTGAACGAGATACTAGTGGAAATCGTCGTGGTCGTGAATATACATCATCAGGTGGTGATTTAGGTGGTAATAATCGTACGCAAGATGATTTTTATCGTTCCGGTGGAGGAACAAGTTCATCATATGAACGTCATTCGACCCCACCAACATCAACATCTGTTGATAATATTCGTGGTACTAGTGATCGTTATCCACCAACAATTCGTGAAGAAACTAGTCGAAGTGGCGGTAGTGCTGTTAAACGACTTCGAGATCAAGGTGAATCAACGGATCGTGGTTCAGGTGGTCGAGGTACAGGTACTGAAGGTGATGATTCATCATTAGAAGATCCAAATGAACGACGTGATCGTTTACAACCAGTACGTAAAGATGAAGGATATGGTCAAATTCGTTGCGGTTTTCGTTATGATCGTCCACGTGGTAAACTTATCGTTCGTATATATGAAGCACGTGATTTAATTAATACGGATAAGAATAGCCTTTCAGATCCGTATGTACGTTTATTACTATTACCTGATAAACGAAAAAGAACCAAACGACGTACAAAAATTATGAAAGATACATTAGCACCTGTTTTTGATGAAACATTTGAATATGATATTACATATGAAGAAGCGAAATTGAAAACATTAGATGTTGTTGTTAAAAATGATCGTTCACTTTTTTCAACAGAAAAAGTTTTTATGGGTCAAGCATTAATCACATTAGCTAACTACAATATTGATGATGGAAATTTAATTGATGATTGGTTTACACTTGAACCAGAAGGCGCATTGGCTTTACGACTTAAGGCACTTGATGCATAATTTAACAAAAAAAAACCATATCTATTGAACAGACTTTAGATGTTGTCGTTCCGTGATACATTCTTTTTAATCTCTATATTAGATTTCTTACATTGCTTCTCGTTCAGTTTGCTCACTAATTATTTTATTCTTAAATTAGCTATAGCTTTTTTCTTTTTTTTTTCTCTTTCTTAATACACGTAGTTTCAGCTGACGCATTATACACAAAGCATGATGGAATGATTGATTGATCAATGATTGAATGCATGATTTTATGCAAGACAAGGAAAAGAAAAGCAGAAACAGAAAGAATAATTTTTTTTTTGACTATTTGATTTACAGGTCATGATAGCAATGTTTTATCATGGGTGCCATCTGTACCGTCACAGGTTTCATCTTCAACCGGAACAGAATCGACAATTTTTGATCAGGTATACAGTGGTTATCGACGCCGACCAGCGATGATTAGTTTGAATGTTCAATGGGTACCTGTTACTGATCGTTCAGGTACTTATCAATGGAGTGGAAATGATGTCAACAATCGCAAAGTAAAGACAGTCACATTTTTTGGTACTGGTGAAATGCGAGGACAAAAGCAACGTAAATCTATTACACCACCAAGTTCTGATTATACAGATGCATATCTATCTGCTTTTGCTCCGAAACCAATTCCAACTAGACATGTAAATCGATTAAGTACTGCTGTATTTGCTAATGTTGCACCAATTCCACTCAAACCAATTAGTCCACCTTTACCTAAAACTGATTCTATGAAAACGAGTCAAACTCGTTTTATCAATATTAATAATATTCAACCATCGAAATCATTCGATAAATTTGCACCTTCTTCGTCTAGTCAAAGTTCTACTTATTCATCAAGTCTTACTTCAGAAAGATCGACTACATATGAACCATTTTCAAATACTCAATATTCCTCACCTCAATCTCAAACATTTACTTCTAGTTATTCGACATTACTTCGTACTCCAATGTCAACTACGACAGTTACGCCAACTCCCAGTTTTGACAGTCGACGATCTTATACAACTATTCAACCTCATTTTCAACCAATATCATCCACAGTACCCATTGTTTCTCGATCTGAAACATCCTATGGAAATATATATAGACCTCTTCCACCTTATTCTTTCGAATCCTATCCACCATCAAATACCTATACAACATCGTTATCAACATCATTATCATCGATACAACCAACATACAGACCTCAAGTGCCATTTCAATCTCCTTCATTATTTTCCAGTTATAACATTAATCAAAGTAGTCTTCGAGAGCCTCTATTTCGATCAACTACGAAAATGGAAACACAAATCGATCGTCCTGAAACACTTTCATCTCAACGTGACGAAGATACTCGATCATCAAGAATCGAAGAACCATCGCCAATTATTAATCCTTCACCTCAATCTCCTATCACTCGTGAAGAACTTAAAATTGAACCTGAACGTTTACATATGGAAGAATTAACAGACATTTCTTCCGAACCTATTCGAATTCTTGAAAGTACTCTTGATAAATATGATTCATTAATCAATCAAATCTCAGAAGTTCTTGCTAGTGTATCACCAATGAGTTCTACTGTGAGCAGCATGAGTCCAGGTAAAAGTGTACTCGACTATCAACTTTCTTCCGACAGCTCACCCATTTCACCAGCTAGTCGTACTCAAATCCAACCATCGGAACAATCAATGACTACAATGGTTACAACTAGTACAACAGTACAAACCAAACCAAGTCATCTCATTCGTCGAGATTCATACGATAAAATTGTTACTGCTATATCGGATATCGATAAAGAAATACTTTCATCAGCTGATACTCAAATCTCGTCAGCTACTATTAAAGAACAAAGAGAAGAGCCAGAAATTTTATTAGTAGACGCACAACAAGTTCTACCAATCGCTGAAAAAGAAGATAAAGAATCAAAAACTGCATCGACAGAAGAACATCAAACGCCGTCGATTTTGACGGAACAGAAGGAAGAGCAAGCAAAAGCTTTACCAACTGATGAACAACAAGTTTTGTCTGCAACAGAAGAAGAGAAGCAAGAAGCAAAAGTTTCATTAGTAGAAGAGCACCCAGCCCAACCAATTACTGAAAAACCAGACGAAGAAACTAAAACTGTGTCTACAGAAGAACATCAGCTTTTGTCAATATCGCCAGAGAACAAGGAAGACGAAGCAAAAGTTATATCCACAGATGAACAACAAGCTCCAGCAGTAGCGGAAGAAAAGAAGGGAGAAGAAACGAAGACTGTATCTGTAGATGAACAACAAACTCTATCGATAACTCAAGAAGAAAAACCAGAAGCGAAAACTTCATTAGCAGACGAACAGCAAGTCTCACCGATTACTGAAAAACAAGACAAGGAAATCAAAGATTCATCTATTCAAGAACATCAAGCTCCATCAATTTCAATAGAACAGAAAGGAGACGAAGCCAAAACATTAACTATAGATGAACAACAAGCTCCAGCAGTAGCGGAAGAAAAGAAGGGAGAAGAAACGAAAACTGCATCTGTAGATGAACAACAAACTCTATCGACAACTCAAGAAGAAAAACTAGAAGTGAAGACTTCATTAGTAGACGAACAGCAAGTCTCACCGATTACTGAAAAAGAAGGCGAAGAAATAAAAACTATACCTACAGAAGAACATCATATTTCATCAATTTTGACAGAACATAAGGAGGAAGAAGCAAAAGTTTCATCCACAGATGTACAACAAGCTCCATCATTAACAGAAGAAGAGAAGCAAGAAGAAACGAAAATTTCATCTATCGATGAACAACAAACTCATGCAATAATTGAAGAAGAGAAAAAAGATGAAACAACGACTACATCAGTTGATGAACATCCAAGTACAACGTTAATTGAAGAGAAGGCAGAAGAGCCGAAAGGTTCATCTTCAGAGAAACCCCAGCTTTCGTCTGCCAGTCCAGAAGAGAAAGTAGAAACAGCAACCACATTGACAGAAATGCATCAAGTTCCATCGGCGACCGATAAGGAAAAAGAAGAAGCAAAAGTTTCTATCTCAAGCGAACAAGAAGCGCCAACAATACCTGAAGAAGTACCATCTATACCGATTGTGTCGTCATCAGACACTTCCGCAAGTGAAATACTTCAATCACACCAATTGAAATCTGATGAAGAGAAAGTCACAGACCAACAATCAACAGCAAAAGATATAGCTGACAATGCCAACTTTGTTCAACAAGAAACAGTCTCACTAACAAATGTGCCATATGACGTTGTGGCAGCAGAAGAAACAAGTAAAACTACCGATAGTTTAGAATCAACAAAAAAAACCGGAAAACGTGTTACATGGGATGAAGCAGTTGTGGATAATGAAGATGCCGAAAGCTCATCACAGGAAAGTCTCTCAGAAGAAAGCGGTGCTTCTGAAACTTCAACCACAACAAAACCTGAAGAGAATCGCACAGCTGCAACTATTGATAATGAATATGTGATTATACCTGAACCAAAAACTACTGCCGATCAACAAATAACGTCTTCAGATGTTACTGAATCACAGATTACTTCTGATCAAACAATCAATCTACCAAGTTCTACAGAACCATCGATTGTATTGTTAAGTACAACTGATCAACAAATTACCTCAGCGGACTCTAGTGATTTTCAAACCACTTCTACTGAACAACAGGTTAGAACATTAAACTATTCAGATGATCAAACAAGTCTACAAGCAACTATTAATGAACAAATTCATCCAATTGATATTACTGGACAGCACATTATTCCATCTGATTCTACTGAACAACAAACACGATCTTTTAGTCCTCTTGAAACATCGTCAACTTTCTCAGATTCTACAAGTCAAGAAATTACTTCTCCAGATTTGACAGAAGTATCATCAGGTGTGAATGAACAACAAATTCGTTCAGTAAGCCCACTTGATACTCAATCAGTATCGATTACTGATTCTTCAAAAGAAGATACGTTTACTGTTGATGAAATATCAACAACAACTTCAGATATTACTAGTAGTAACGAAATCAGTAAGCATGTAGAAGAACTAGAACCTACGAAAACAGAATCAAAAGAAGATATGACAAGTGATTTACATAAAATTGAAACTTCTTCACAAGTTGCAGAAAAAATGTCACATGAATCTGAAACGTCAATTATTGAAAGTACAATTATAGCTTTACAACCAACAATTGTAAGTCCGATTGATACACTTTCCGATATAATCGCTAATCGCTACATCAGCAGCGATGTATATCATGGTTGTTTGGGTGAACATAAACAGTTTTTACAAGTAGGTCATGTCTTTTTCAGTTTTCAATAGTTTATGGTGATACAAATAATTTTCATTATTTCAACTAGGATACATCGGATATCGATCAGGAACACATTACAAAATCACTTATTGGTTCTCTTCGTGAAACTATTACCACGCCAATGATACCACTTATTGAAACAATTCAAAGTGTTGTTTCCAGTTTACAAACAAAAACAGCAGCACTTCCATTGAAAACTGACATCGAAACTATTGACCATTCTCAAGATGATACAAGTCTAACGACCACAATTGTTACAGAATCAAAACAAGACGTCAGCGATGATCAAACTCAAGCTGAAGAAGTAAAATAAAAAACAATTAAAATATTTCATAAAATATTAAAGGATATCGTTATAGAATAAACCTACAATGGATAGTGCAGAAAAATTGAAAACAGTATTTGAAACTCTTCAAGAAACAATTACAGCACCGATTACAGCAATAACCGAAACTATTCAAACAACACTGTTAAATCTTCAATCAGACAAACAGGAAATTTCATCCTCATCGAGTACAGAACAATTGAAAACAACTCTTTCAGAAAGCATTTCTACTGTTGAAACAGAATCACCTTCCAACATTGTTAAACCATCTGATGAGAAGACGACTGATGACTCAAACAAAGAAATCGAACCATCCTCACCTTTACTTACTGAAACAAGCCAAAATATAGTACCGATGGCTATATCATCAACAGATATACATACAGAAGAAAAAGCTATTCCACGAGAAAAATCTGAAGGTCAAGCCTTTGAAGGTCCTCTTTCAACCGATACTATACATGAGCAAACCATAACTGATCATACAAAGAAGCACGATACTGTTGTAACTGACAGTTCAGTCTCAACTACATTAGACACTACTAGTACCGCCACTGAACAAGTACATGAACAAAAAGAAAAACCAGAAACAATATTTGTGGAGTCTTCACCGTCTGAAATTCCAGTAAGATAATGTTTCATAAAATGGCAGTTAAGAAATTTAACTTGAAAATTTAGGAATCTACTTCTGCTATTCAAAAGACAGCGGAAACAACAACGGAAGGTGTTGAATTTACTCCAGTTACTCAATATGATGAACAGGTATCAACATTCAGTCCTGTAGCAGTAGAACAAGGAGATATTTCTGATAAACAACAAACGATTTTAACCGAATCTTCATCCACCGATATATTAGTGAGTCTTCTTTAAAACATAAAATCAAAACAATGTGTTTAAAATTTTAGCCTACTCCATCGGTTGATCAAAAGACAGAAGAATTAACAGCAAAAGAAGACCATACGATCGAGAGTTCTGTACCGACATCCATTACCCAACATGATGAATCCACACCCACACCTATTGTTATCCCATCTGAACAAATTGTTATTGATGATAAACAAGAAGCAGCACATTTTGAAATACCTGTAGGTTGTTCTTTAAAGAAAGTAATCTTCTAAAAGCTATTTTTTTAATTTAGAGTGAAACAACTACAGAACAAACGTCTGATGCAAATGTAGCTACAGAAACAAAAACGACTTTTGAAGTTATTCGTGATGTTATTACACATCCAATAGCGACAATCACTGGGAAAATTCAAAGTGTTATATCTACTTCAACAAGTGAGCAAACTGAACAAGCTCCATCTGATGCTACAAAATCTTCTATTAGTACATCTGAAGAAGTAGAAACGTCGAAAGGTCAACAAATTATTGAAACAGAAGTCAGTTTGATATAAAAAATTTACTTAAAAAACCATATTCGATATTTAGAATCTTCCTGCCACTGAACAAAAAGCTGAAACTGTAAATGTCGAGTCTACTGAGACAAAAACCACTTTCGAAAATATACGTGAAATTATTGCACATCCAATAGCAACAATTACTGAAAAAATTCAAAGTGTTATGTCTACTTCACCAAGCGAACAAATTGAACAAGCTTCATCTGATGCTACAAAACCTTCTACTAGTACATCTGAAGAAGTAGAATCTTCGAAAGATCAACAAGTTTCTGAAACACAAGTGAGTTGGATATTTAAAAAAATCTTTAACAAAGACACATATTCTATATTTAGAATCTTCTTACAACCGAACAAAAAGTCGAGAGTATGAATATCGAGTCTTCTGAGACAAAAACTACTCTCGAGAATATACGTGACATTATTACACATCCATTAGCAACACTTACAGAGAAGATTCAAACTGTTATTACTTCTTCTACTACTGAAGAAGTTCCAACATCCGACCAACAGGTATGTTGAATTTGAACATTGATCATATCAATTCATTTTGATATTCAGACTTCAACAATATCAATTGATCAAAATAAATCTGAAGATATTAAATCAACAGTAACGAAACCAACTTTTGAAATGACTCAAGATGCTGTATCAAATACCATTGATGAAACTTCTTCACATCAGGAAAAGAAACAAATATTAACAAACCAAGCGTTTGAATCATATTTACAAGATCAAATTCAAGGTCAACAAGATTTAACTTCAACAACAATATTATCTCAAGTAAGAATCAATTTAGTCACATTCAAATCTTTCTTAAATTATTTAATTAAAGATTTCCGATAATGAAAAACCAATACAACAAATTGAATCTGAGTATGAAGATGCTCAAGATTTAGATTCACTTCAAATTGATGCATCAACTAGTGACGAAAAAAATAGTCTTCTTGTTAATATTGTTCATAATATAATCCATGATATAATTAATGCTGTCTTACTTCGATTAAATCAAATTTCAATTGATAATGAACAAATAGAAAAAGAAATGCTTTCTTCTGACAGTAGTCTTACTAGTACAATAACAGTTATAAATGTTGAAGATAAATCTGAAAACAGTGAATCCACAATCAATGAAGGAAGAATAACAAGTGAAGGAGATACTTTTGATAGTAAAATGTTAATATCTAATATAACTTGGCCAAATCTTTTAGGTGAAAAACCTACTGATGATGAAAAATATGATCAATCATTTGAACAAATCAAACAGTTACTCGAAGAAGTTGTCCAATCATCGGATAGTATAACTGTTGAAATCATAGATCAAAAAACAACAATTACACTTCCAAGTCAAACACAACTATTACCAATTATGGAAAATACACTTCAACAAACAATAATTACGCCTCAAGTAAAGCAAAAAAAACTAAAGCTAATCTTCAATTCTTATTTAATTAAATCTTTTTTTTTTCCTTCAATTAGACTGATGATATCATACAACAATTGAGTAATGATATTGTATCAGATTCGGTAAAACAAAATAAAAATCTTTTTCAATAATTTTGGATTCCTTTATTTTCTTTTGTCTTACAGATATCAGCAGTTACAGAAATTGAAAATGTTCCATTAAAATCATCAACTGAATTTCGTGAATCATCGCCAACAAATATTGAAGATGATTCACTTGAATTAATTCATGCATTACAAGGACATAGTATTATTCTTCCTTCTTCACAACTTGTTCAAATACAAGCTGGTACAACAAATCAACCATCTTTATCAACTTCTTATATAGAAAAAGTTGATATACAAACTTCACAAGTACCAGAAAAATCTTCAAGTTCAACAACAACCACATCATCACAAATAACAAGTTCAGATCGATATGTTTCATATGCAATACATGAAATGGGTGATTCATCACAAGAACGTTTGCCAGCTTTTCCTGTAGCAGCTGACATTCCTATCTATAAATCAGTCAAAACAACATCTGATGAAAATAAAGAACAACAAAAATTATCTGAACCAATTGTTAACATCAATCAAAACGTAACAAAAGATGATGACCTAACTGAATTCGATGCAACAGAAAATTTAACTTATTCAGATGATGTACTTTTACAAAAACTTTATGCTTCAGCTCCGACTCGACTAGAAAATTTAGATGCGAGTAGTACAGATGAAGATGCTGATGATGCAAATTTTAATGAATATGAACATCATGATATACCAAATCTTTATCGTATTATGAATGAGATAATACAACAAAATGATAATCTATCTCAAGAATATGGACAAACTTATCAACGATACGATGTTTCAAGTAATAGTTCAACATCAACAAAACTTCAATCAGATGATGTTTATATCATACCAGGATATGCTGGCTTATGGAGACCATCAGCTGATGATGATGACGATAATACACATTTACCATTAACTAATGACGAAGATGATCAACAACAATCTGCTACAACTGTAGTTAAAACTCGAGTAAGTTTATAAGAAGTAATAATTTCTTTTTGAGCTGGAAAAAAAAATAATTGCCAATTACTGATTCGATTTGATTCACATGTTTTCTTACCAATCAATCAATGCTTGAAAAGATTCTTTGTTTGATATCGTTCAGAGGAAACAAAAGAAGCCTGAAGTTAATCACAATAGAATCGAATTCATTGTTATTCTTTTTATGCTTGAAAAAAAAGATAGAAAATATTATTGAATATCATGACCTTTATTTTGTTTCGTCTTCTTTGAAGGTTAAAGAAAAGAAAAATTAACATTTTTATTTATTAACTTGTCAACATATTTATTAATATAAAAAGTTTTATAAGTCTAATTGTTAAAACTAATGATCAAATATTATTAAATTCAATTTATTGAAAATGAAGAACATGATAGAACCTTTCATTTGATATTTACATATATTTTTGGTTCAGATAGATTAGTTATACATATTTCGCTTTTTCTTTTTTTTTTTTTTCTTTATGACCTTTATTTTATCGTTCATAAATGTTATAAATTGAAAAGAGTAAATCATTTATATTTTTTATCTAGACAATTGTTCGAACGACCGATCCTACTAAACTTCAATCATTTTTACAACAACATCAAGATATAACAACTCAAGATACACCAGTTCGACAAGATACATATGATATATTTAATAAACCATTGAATGAATTTTCATTTGATGTATCAGAATCGGATAGTTTTAAAACTTGTACATCAACAATAAATACTTCACCAACATCGAAACAACAAACACAAGCTGAATTATATAATTTACCTATAATTGAACAAAAAGAACATCAAACAAGTCCAGATGAAAAAATATTTCTTATACGTGAACGTGAACGTGGTGTTTCATTACCTGTTACAATGAAAATAGATTATGATGATATGGCATTACGTTTATCATCATCAACACCAATTGATGCTCAATTATATGCTACAACACCAACAGATTTACCACCACCATCAACATCAACATGTAGTGAATTAGTAGAACAAACAACATCTAGTAGTCGTGCAAGTACACAATCATTAAGTAGTAATGAAAGTGAAAAACAAAAAATTTCTTCACCATCTTGGTTAAATACCACTAACACAATAATTACAACTATTGAAGGACCTGATGGACGTAAGTAATAAAACATTGTAGATGAAGTAGACAAATAAAATGAGAATCAATGTCGTCAATCAAATGTTAATGTGTTTGCATTCAATAAATAGACAGAGATCAGATGTCTATCGTTCTTCTTTTTTTTTCCTACAATGATACTTTATTCATATCATACACAATGTTCTTTGGCTGCTAATGCATCAAACATTCGATCTCAAGTGGTATAGTTGCTATTGCTGCGCGTGTGCATACTTGAACTACATCAATATTGTGAGCGAGCTTTTTTTAACGAATATGTTCCTCCTCTCTTTTCTACGGTTTTACCTTTTCTCGTTCTTTCTTCAAGTAGTTGCGATTACTTGTGCATATAAACCTATGCAACAAAATGTGATAGTTTTATTTAAAAAAAAATATTTATGCTGACTGTTCACTTATCAGTCTATATGACTGCATACTGCGGACAGTTATGAGACAGTTGCATACTATGTCTTTAATTTCTTTTTTCTCTCTTCATTTTCTATTGAAACATCGTAAAAAAAACAACAAGGACTAATAGCAGTTGATGGAAGCCCATGACATGGCCTTCGACTGAATATATGTGTGTCGTAATGTTGGCATTGTAAAAAAAAAAGAAAGAAAAAACTAAAAAGTCAGTTTCTCTATTCATTTCAACAAGGGAAGCGCAGAAAAAATTTGTTGCATTTTATCATTATATGAAAAGTATACTTGTTTCGTTTGCTGCTGTGTATGTTTATCTACCGTCAGCATGCGAGCATGCATATACTGGCGTGATTGTTTTCTACCACCACCATTATCACACAACCTCTATAACGACGAAACGAAAGAGAAAATGGAAGAGGAGAGAGACGAAGAAAAAGAGGAAGAGAGAGAGAATGAAAAAAAAACGAAAGAAGAGAGAAAAAACGAAGGCTGCTTCAGCATTGTCCACTATTTGAGATCATTCTACTTTTGCGTATGGTATAACAAAAAAAGTCAAAGAAGTATAATATCGAAAGAGAAGAAAAAAAACCGCAACATAACGAATTATGGCAGCAGCAACAGCATCGATTCATAATACAACAGGAACTTTTATGTTTCATCCTCGACCAGCTGTTTTTGAACATCCTATTACTTATGATCTTCCTTCATTAAATAATTCAACATCAATAATAAATAACAAATCTGATATAAATGATTTTTCTCAGTATTATATTAGTGAGCAATAATTGTCGATTCATTTATTTGTTTTTTTTTTTCAATATTTTTTCTTATTAATAATTTTTCTTTTAATAGCTCTCGAATCTCGTACAACTATTCATAAATCAGCCAAAGGACCAATATCTATTGCTGAATGTGACGTACAAGGAAAATATATTATTATTGAAAATACAAGTCGTTCAAAAAGTATGGTACTTGCTGGTTGGACAATACGTCAAGAAAGTGATAATGGAGATATTTTAACATATACAGTTCCTGATAATTGTCTTTTAAGACCAAATCATTCATTGAAAGTAAAAACTAAAATTATTTTATTTTATAATTATTTATTAAAAATTTATATTTCTTATTAGATTCTTACTAAACCAAATGAATCAGAACGAAAAAATAGTGATCTCATTGCTTCCTCATTGTCTTCATGGCATACAGGTTTAAACTTCGTTACAACATTGATCAACGCCGAAGGCAAGGTAAAATATAAACACTTCGAATTTGGTGTCTTTCGGATATATAAAAACGGCAAATGATAGCTTTATAAGTTGAAATATTTGGCAAAAAAATGAAAAGAAAAATATATCGAAATAGAAAAATACCTCGGTTTTTTGACTGTTGAGATTCATATACCCATGATATGACATTTCCTGATGATGAATACAATTTTATTTAGTAGAATATTTAATTATTTGATTTTTATTTTTAGGACCGTGCTTCGTTAACCAAAAAGACAGTATTCTCTTGATAAATGAATAGATTCGTTTTTTTTTGTTTTTTCTTACTTTTCCTGTACCTACATTATTTTGGCTTTTTATGTCAATTTTTCTTTCATTGTTTTTGTCTATGTATAATTGCAAACAAACATTATGTCTTTTCCAAATAATATTATTAATCACCCTCACACATATTTTTTATGCACAACAAAACGATGAAAAAAATTGATAGTTTCTAGCGAAATTTGTTTTCTTTCTTTTTTCTTTTTTTGGTTTTATTAATTTTACAAAAATCCCGATTTATGTTTCTTTTCGCTTTTTTTCTGTCTTGTATTAATAATTATCAAGCAATATTATTATTGCTATTTGATCTATCACGTCCACTACTATTAGTATTAAATTGTTCATTACTATCATCATGTTCATCTTCATTTTCAATATACAATCTTTTGTAATTAAGTATTGATGATAAAATACTACTTAAGACAAATGTAAGCATAAATATCATTAATATACGTGGTCCCCAATGTTTATAAAGAAAACCAACTGTTATTGGACCAAATGCACGTGCTAATGAACCAGCACTAGTAAATATACCCATCATTGTACCTTGTGGACGATCACCAAGTTTTTTTGAAAATATTGAATAACAAATGACATTACTAATTGAAAAACCTATTGTTATAACAACTGATGCTGTTATATATTGCCATAATTGTACACGTGGTACTGTATAACACCATTGGTAATCAAGTGGACAACCTTTTTCATCACTATCAGCCGTTGTTGTTAGTAAACTAGATGATAATGTTGTTGATGATGGAGTAGCAGTTACAGTTGTAGGTGTAAATGCTAAAAGAAAAACAACATAAAGTATACATAATAAATGAAGTGGAAGTTTTATAAGTTAAAAATTTACATGCAATTTGAACACTTGGATAATCGGTACCCCATGGTAAGAAAATGAAATAACCAAGAAAGGATATAATCAAACCAAGTAATGCTAATGCACGATCTTGAAACCTATTTTTGAAATATATTTCAATTTTAGAATTTTCTTTTAATTAATATTACCGTTTAGCTAAGAATTTCGTAACTAGTAAAACTACAACTGACATACAACCAAGTGCACCAAGTATATAACCATTATTTCTTGTACTTTGTTCTTTGGACCATGCATACATATCAATTGAAAGTGGTGAAGCTATTCTAAACATTACATTCCAATAAAATATGTATTCTATACTATCGAAATATTTTTTTTCTTATTTTAAAAAACAAAACATAACATACGTTTCATAATTTGTAAATGTCAAATAAGCAACAAAAAACATATAAAGACAACATATAATAGCCATTAATTGATCATGACGTTCAGTTGATGACAATTCTAAAAATAAATAATAGAATATTGTTAAAATCATTTTTTCAATAATAATCACTTTGATTTGAATTATCTCCACTAACACTCCTTCCCGTTGATGAAACAATCCGTACATCTTTAAATGTAATTAAGAATAGTACAAGGTTGATGCCACCCGTTAAAACACTGAAAAAAGCTGGAGCCGTATATATATTAAGATACAGCTGTGAAAACAAAACCATAGTGTAAGAATAATTTATTCTTTAGAACAAAAAGAAAATACTTTACCCAGGGTTTATGTACAGGACCAGGATAACTAAGAAAAGCAAAAAGAGCTTGAATTACTAAATTAAACAAAAAGTTCATACATATGAATCAGAAGTAAATTTTAGTTTATTATTTATTAAACTTACAAGGTCCAAGAATAAAACCAACTCCTTGATAAGCTGATAGATTAGCCATAACATTTGTTCGCTCTGAAACTGTGGTTGCCGATGAAGCATATGATCTCATTATCGTTGAATTAGCTAAAAAATAAAAAAACAGAAATTCTAATTTGTATTTTTTCAATTCATCAATTATAATTGATACATACCTGCACCGATTCCCATAATAAAACGAGCCAACATAATCCACCATTTATTTGAGAAAACAAAATTATTGATACTTTGTATATAAGCATAAAGAAGATTAGCTACAACAATAAGTGCTGTACTTATAACTAATGGTAGTTTATTATTATTAGTTCGATTTGCAATATAACCGATTATAGGTGATGCTATTAATTGACCAAGAGAGAATGAAGCAACAAGCCATCCAAGAAAAGTTGCATCGGCATAAAGATCAACCTGAAAACAATTAATCAGGGAATTACGATAGAATAGAAAAATAATATAGAAATATACGATTTGAAGAAAAGGCCAAAGTGATGAAACAGTTATGCTGAATACAATCGAACTAACAAACATGCCAAAATAACAAATACGTATATCACGAAATCGTTCTGCTCTTGTAGCTTCATTAAAAAATGTTGATGAACGAGTGCGATTACTATTTCAAAAGAAAAACAATAAGCAATCTAAATACGATTTTTTATTTATTTATTTCATTAAAATTTCATACGACTCTTCTCGTGTTGAAGTTGTTGGACCGTTTATTTGTCTGTCTAATAGCGACGATGTTTCATCTACGAGCGTTGAAGAATTGGAGTATGTTTTTGCCATTCTTAGCTCATTCAAATGACACTTTTTGTCTATAATGAAAAAAAAACACAACTGAAAATTGAAATATAATAAGATAAAAACGTATATTTCGTCAAAATAAACACGTATATGATATTGTTCTTGGTATGAAAATGATTCTTATCTTAATTTTTTCTTTCTGATTACCAAAGTTCACGTTTTAAACTGAAAACAAAACACAACTTCATGTATATCAATATGTCATTTTGCCCCAAAAAAAAAATTTATATATATTTAAAACAAAACATAACATAAAATAAAAATTAAATAAATCATACTCGACAATAAAGTTACAATCGGATTAATAAATACAAAAAAAAAATCAGACATTTGATATTCTTTGATAATAATATGTTACATCAGGCATAGTTTTACGAACATTTTGTTGTTGTTTTTGTTGAAAATGTCTCGAAAAAATAGTACCATTAGTAACCGTTGAATTCATCGATTGTTGACAATGAAGAAGTTGAAGAGCCATAGGTGATGTTCGTATTTCTTTTAATCGTTGTTCAAAATCAGTATCACCAGGTAAATAATTTAAATTGATTGCTGTTGTACGACGATCGATTGGAGGGTTTTCTATTGTTTTTTTTGCTAAATGCATTTTAACAGCAATGCTACGAAATAATCGTTTCAATTCATGACGAAATGCTTTACCAGTAATAGCATATAGAAAAAAATTTATCTTAAAACAATCAAATTTCCTTTGTTTTCTAAAAGAATAATATATGTTATCAAAAAGAAACTTACACAATGATTCGAATATTGTAATGTTTCACATAATGGTTTAAGATAGAATTGTGCAAAATGTTGATATTGATTATTTTTATGTATATTTGTATATATTTGTAAACAAACCATTGGAAATGAACTTAATAAAAAGAAGAATGTTACAGCTAAAAGCATTGTTGTCAATTTTTTTGACATTGATGTTAGTAATTTATTTTTATGACGTGTTATTTGTGACTGATAAATTTGTAAAAGTGATGTTGAACGTCGTGCTTGAAATAAACTATGTACAATAATCAAATTCATTGTTAATAATAATATAAATGGTAATGCAGAATAGACAGCTGCATCTATCCATGGCCATATTTGACGACTAAAAAATTCGTAACGTTCATGATACGTACATTCCTTTTCAATTGATAAATGATGTGTAAATAAAAATTGAATGTTAATTAATATAATACATATAACAAGAATTAAAACAGATATTCGTGCACGTCGTACTGTACATATTGAATTAGCATGAAGTGGACGCGTTACAGCTATACAGCGATCAGCTGACATCATGCAAACAAGCCAAACACTAACATCGGCTACTGTATAAAATAAAAGTGAAAGAAATTTACACCCATATGTTGATTGTAATAATAATGACCATTGTCGATTTACTAAATAAAGCCACATTACAGATAGACCAAGAAGTAATACACTTGTATCGGCTATGGCTAATATTCCCATATAATAACATGTTGAAAGATGAGACATGCGTCGTCGTCGCATGATTATAAATACCAGTGTATTACACACAACACCGGTTAAAGCCATGCACGGAAAGAGTATAAAAAAGATTTGCCTAGCAAGTGTAGCCGATGATAATGTTTCTGCATTATCATTTGAGCTAAGTGTCGAATTCGCATTGAATACATGAGAAGATTCCTGATGACTGCTCATCGAACATAATATAATTCTTTCACTATGAACAAAAAATTGAAAGATAGAGAAATTCAGCTCTCTTTTTTTCCTTCAGAATTGTCATATTTTCTTGACTAGAAAAAAGAGGAACCGATCTGATTAGAACTAGTTAAAGCTAACAAATGAATGAAAGACAGAAAGACGATAATGATTTAGCAAAAGAAAAAGGCTCTTAAAATATTGAGTACAAGTTTATAATAGAAGTACAGAAAGCAGGAAGGACGACGTTGAATGAACGAGCGAGTAATGATTATATGAATGAATAAATCGACGGGAGAAATTCTGCTTTTGAAACCACCCGAGATCAAAATATAAAATACAAGGAAAAAAAATGGAGAAGCAATGACAATCCGCATCAACTTTTGTCATTTGTAACAATGCGCCTGTTTTCTTTTTCTCTTTATTTCTATTCTTGTTTTCTGTTTTCTTTTTTTTTTTTTTTTTTTTATGTCCTTTATTTTTGATCAAACAGAAAAAAGAAAATTTAGAACCATAGTCTAGATAGCATTCGCTTTTTTCTTAGTAGTTATATTACTATGATGTCCTTCGTTATTGCTATCTACACCGACACATGCAATCCAAAGAATTCCATTAGTATCATGCGATACAGAAAAAAATGCATTACCTGATTTTTCTCGTCTCTTAGTATCCTAAAGGTTGTCTATTTTTTTCTCCTTGTTTCGCCTTAAAGGTAGCATGATACTTTCTTAACATCTAAATTCCTTTTTATTTCCTAAAACACATCCGGTCATGAAAAATAAAACAGTGTTTAGGTGTTGTTTTGTTTTTCTTATCTGACACTAGAATCTATATATTTTCGTTTTTTTTCTACAGGATTCTCCAATCGATGTATTTATTAGAATATTTTCTTTCATTTTGTTTTTTCTTCATATCAGATCTAGTCAATCATAATATTTCTAGAGTCATCTCATCATCATTTTCACAATCTCTACGATTATTTGATTGATGAAAACAACCGAGGACAGCCATCATAACGATTCTATTACTTACTTGTTTTCCTTTTTTTCTACACTCGCTTTGAAAATCATCATTGACCGTCGACACATATTAATATGCTCTTGTTCATCAGACCAAAATTAGAATTCTGATTTGATTTACAATACAGATGAAACTATGGATGATGGAATGAAACAAGAGATTATGTTAAAAACAAAATGAAAGAAAAAGAGATCACAGCTGGCGATAGATCTTCTATTTCAATCTTTTGCCGCGTTTGATCAAAAGTGATTATAGAATATATAAAACAAATAATATTTTCGTCTTTTATGATTACCATGTATAGATGAAGAGACACTTTGGAAAATGAAAAAGTCTGCAATTCTAATCAACTAAACATAAAAAGTTTTGTCTCTATTATAGGTAGTCGGCACGTGTAAAAAGAAAAAAAAGTTTCAAGTGATTTTTATCATCATCAACTTCCGCTATACGGAAAGAAAGAACAATACGGTGTGTTCATGTTTCTTAAATGCGTGCGTGTGTGTGTGATTTCAAAGAATTTAATTCCAATGATAACTGCAAGTAAAAGTGTGTATGCGGCACTTTTATTCTCTTATTGAAGTGATCTTCAAATATACAATAATAATAAAGAACGATAAGCTACCTTAATAACTCGACCTTCATCTTCTCTTTCTCTTCCTCTCTTTAGAGAGCAATTAGATTGTACATAGTAAGCAATACAATGATTGGTTTATAAGACGAACAAGAGAAGAAGAGAAAAAAAAGGAAAAATATGATTTTTTTTACCATCATTTATCAATCTTTTTGTTTCAAAGTTAAATCATGAAACGAGTTAATACATATGAAAGTGGTGGCGATTCTGACGATGAGTTTATCGAGTACGTATCTTTACTTAAAAAAGAAAATGTTCTCCTTATTTCTCGGAAATAACTGTCACCTTAAGGTTCTGTTTGAATACTATCATTAGAAGAAGAAAAAATAATAAAAATTAATTATAGATTAAAAACAACCGACCTATCCAATAAGGAACTCTTTTGATATTGAAGAATATGAATATTATGTTATTTTGTAAAAAAAGAAAAGGTGTGAACAGGAAACAAAGTACTATGTGTGTAAATAAAAGAATGAGAACGAAACGGAAACTTATAAAAAAAAAATTTTATATTCATACAAAAAAATGTTTTCTATTTGAGAAATGTTCAAGTACTGAGAAATAGAAATTCATTCTCGATTCGCACCCACACAGTTTCATGATTGTTAAAAAGAAATACGATATTCACATTACTAGTTTAAAGTCTCACATTGATATTCATTAAAAAATTTATGAATATAAATATATGAGTATGAAAATTATGACAGAAAAAAGCTTTTATGAATGACGGAATTCTGAAAGAACTAATTGCTAATTATCGTTTTCTCCCTTAATGAATTATTATAGGTCTATTGAGAGTTTGTCTATAAGTATAAAAATTCATAGATTCAAGATAATTTTGTTTTGATTTAGTTCAAGTTTAAGTCCCAGAGATTATGAATATGAACATGTAACTAATCGAAAGAAACGTCGTGGTGTTATTGAAAAACGTCGCCGTGATCGAATAAATCATTGTCTTATGGAATTAAGAAGACTTGTACCACAAGCTATATCAAAAGAAGGTTCAACAAAACTTGAAAAAGCTGAAATTTTACAAATGACAGTTGATCATCTTCGTTCATTACAACAAATTAATAAAGGTATTATAACTAATTTTAATCATTCGAAAATGATAGTCTTTTATTTGTATTCTTTTTTTGTTCATAGATTCAAATAATCCTTGTCAATCATGGCCAATATTTGATGCACATGCAAGTGGATTTCGTGAATGTATTGATGAAATATCTCGTTATTTAATCTCAGTTGAAGGTTTTGATGTTCAACATCCATTACGTTTACGTCTTCTATCACATCTTGAATGTTTTACTGAACGAAGTATAAGTCCATCATCACATCAATCATGGCCAATATTACATCAACAAGCGCCTAGTGCTTTTGCAACACCACCTTTATCATCTTATTCATCTTCAACAATCGGATATCATCATCAAACTAATTTAAATTTTAATATGCATCATTATCAACGACCACCTATTGAGTCATCTTGTCAATTGCCACCACCACCGCCACTACCATCATCGTCATCATGTATTTAATTGATTTCTTTTTTTTTCTTTAAAAACAAACTTTTTGTTTTTTTTTTCTTTACTGTTTATGTATTATATGTGAAACATTAAGTGCTATACAAATTGCTCACTAGAGATTCATTTTCTCTGGTGTGTCAGTGTGTTTTTTTTTGTTTTTAAATCGATATCAGATTATCATTAGTCATGAAAAAAAGAAAAGAAAAAGAAATCATATGTGTTTATAGAGAAATAAATGCAAATATGTATGTTTGTATTTTTTCTAAAAGCTAATTAGATGATGAGAATGGAAGAAAATTAGAACAATATGTATACAGATGGTTTATTATCCATTTATATACAAGAGCACTCATGTTGGATTTATCAAATGGAAAGATATAATCGGATATTTTTAGATGAAAAAACCAAAATAAAATAAAAAGATAGATTATGTTTCAATGTTAAAGCACAGAACGTTCTGTCATGTTTTCTTCGACATTGTATAATGAATTTCAATATTAATGAGGGAAGCATTCCATATGTTCGATGGTGAATCAGTTTATAAGCAGATTTCTTATTATTGCATTCAGAAGATTCGTAGAATCTTGATAGATGATTATTCTAATTCAGTATTACTGCAGTCTATTAAAAAAACCGCATATATTGTCTTTTTACTCAAAGACCATATATATGGCAATGAAACTATACTATATACATTTGTAGATAGAGACTTTCTAATACTTGAAATATGAAATTAAATAACAGCTGAAAATTAGAGACATTCTCTTATAATTGTTTGGTCTTATTATATAAATATCTTTGAATGAGTGACCTTTAAAATAATAAATGTTGCCCGATAGAGAAAACCAAAAATTCTATTGATTGACCTCAAAACTGATTTGGAAGAATTCATAAGAAATATTTCAAAAAAATTATAAAACTACTATTTTAATAATGTTTAAGCCTAAAAGGAGAAGGCTTTCACGTCATTCTCAAGGGTTTATTATGTCTACTAGAAAAAGTCTTAAGTCAATGCGATATATTCTTGAATAAAAAAAAAAAACAAACTAAGCTTCACCTTGTTTACGTCGCATATTCAATTAGAATAATCTCTTATTCATATGATCATAAGGTCAGATGTTCTTTTTTTTGTCTAATATTTCATTTTTAATCATAATCTTTAGTTTAAAAACAAAATTTCTTGCTGACAAATAAATCTTCTTTTTCTTTTATTGTCATATATATTTTGTTGCCTTAACATGTAAAACAAACATTTGAAACCTGAGCAACAATATTAGACATAAATGTATGAATATGATGAATGATTAAATCAAGATAAAAAAAAAAAAGCGTTCCTTTCTTGATATTTTTGTTTAATAACTTCGTCCGAATAATGTATAATATTTTGCTGGACTTTTACAATCTGGATGACAACATCGTTGATTTTTAGCAATTTTTTCCGGTTGATCAAATGGTATACATAAACCTTTAGCTCCCATGGCTGGTGCACCTTCTTCGACAACAGCATCGCTAAATAAACTTTTAAATTAAACAAAACAAAACAAAGAGAATTTTCTTATCTTACCGTGCACTATCTTTTTTAATTCGATCTTCACATTCCATTTCACCACAGAACGGTGCTAACATTATACATGAATTATCAAGACCTTTTAAGAAACCAGTCCAATCTTTAACCAGTACTGTATGACTGTCAAATTCATCTTTTGCTCTAGAAAAAGAATATATATTTTTTTAAAATTTAAATCAATAAAAAACAAAAATAAATTTTTGCTTTTTTTCTCTATTACTTTTTATATAAATCATTATGCATTTGATTGAGCATTTCATGTAATTTTGTTTCACTTTTATCAATTGGTATTGTTGATTTAGCTCCTGTATGTCGAAGTACAACTGTTAATTGTGAACGTGATTTATCGTTTGGACCAATTTCAATACGAATTGGAACACCTAGAAAAAAAAAACATTCGTTTGTATACAAATTTAAAAAAATGCAAACCTTTCATTTCCCAATGATTGAATTTCCATCCTGGTCTATAATTGTCTCTGTAATCACCATATACACGTAATCCAGCCTTTTTCAATTTTGTTTCAACTTCTTTACAGGTATTAATTAATGCATCTTCATCTTCTTTAGATAATGATGCTGTCATACCACATGGAACAATAACAAGCTAAACGGAAAATATATTTTCTCGATATAGAATAACTTCAAAGTTAAATTGACTTGTTAGGGCATACTAAAGGTATCGAGCTTTTTATCAAAGTAAAGTACAAAAAGTTTGAAAAGAAAGTCTACCAACATATATATGTGGTACTAAGAGGGCTCTGTGTGTTTTGAAAATCTTCGATGATTCAGGCGAAGAAATATAAGTCGTTCTCTGTCGAAAAAATCAAGAAAATGGTAAGAACTTGGAGGCAATAATTTTGTGGTCGGCTCTGTCTGGAGCTCGAAATATCTGATCATTGAATTCTTACTTCTAAGTTCATAGAGTTTCCTCAAGTTTTTCGGATGGAAGTGGCGTCTACCTGGTGAGAGTCAATCAAATATTTACGACTCCAGGAGCCGAAATCATTGACTTAAGAAAAAGTATGCACCCATATTTTTTTGATTAATAAGGAAAATTTTCAGTTCGATATCAAAGGATGTACTGCACTTAATATGCAATCGAAATCAATTCATAATGAATCATTTTCCGTTTTTAGTAATCATCATTAAATGAATCATCTCTGACTATATGAAGTTAAAAAGAAATTACTGTCCACTGAGTGCCTTAATTGCTCCAAAAAAATCTATATCTTTTTTAAATGACTAGTCCTATATTGATGCATCACATTGATCAAGAAGAAACCATCAAGCATCAGTATTACATCAATGATTGCTTGGGATCGCTTATCGCAGAAGAAAAGACTAGCATATGGTGCACATATCCAAAAACTTTATCACAACAACATCAACCCATATGTGCACAAAGATATTTCAAACTAGGTCAAATCAAAAGTTATTAAATTTATTTACTTAGATCATGAACTCAATTAACAAAGGTGCTCATAAAAAATAAACATTCAGTCAATTAATATAAACGAATGCAAGTGTATGTAAATGATCAGTATAACTAGTTTTCGGAGACTATTTTTGCTTAAAAATAAAAAACAAAAATCCTTTATATACATACTTGATATTTAGCTATGCGTGGTGGTAAAACTAAACCTTGATTATCACCATGTATCATTGTCATAACACCAATTGTACGTGTAGTCAAACCCCAAGAATTTTGATAAACATATTGTTTAGCTTGTGTTTGTGGATCTTCAAATGTGATATCAAACATTTTCGAAAAATTTTGACCTAAATGATGTGATGTTGCTGCCTTTAAAAATAGAATTTAGTTATTTCAACAACGAAATTTTTTTTCAAAAATTTTACTTGAATTCCTCTACCACTAGCTGCAATATAACCTTCAATTGTTGTTGTCCAATCAGCACCAGCAAATTTTTCTTTTTCTGTTTTACGTCCTTTAATAACTGGTATAGCAAGTAAATCACTATAGACTCTTGCATATAAATCAAGAATTTGATAAACTTCCTCCGAAGCTTCTTTTTCAGTTGCCCATGCTGTATGACCTTCTTGCCAAAGAAATTCTCGTGTACGAAGAAATGGTTGTGGATTTTTGAATTCCCATCTCTAGTAAATTTTCAAATATACAAAAAAAAAATCAAATGTTTTGTTTTTCTTTTGTTCTTTAATTTAAACATACAACAACATTATTCCATTGATTTAATTTTAATGGAAGATCACGATGTGATTGAATCCATTTAGCATATGCCGGATACATAATTGTTTCACTTGTTGGACGTACAGCAATTGGTTGAGCTAAGTCACTATCACCTGATTTTGTTACCCAAGCAACCTTACAAAAAAAGAATTATATATTATGTTATACTTTAATCTAAATTTTTATACTTCCGGAGAAAAATCAGCAATATGAGTTTTTTCACGATAAAGTGCATGATGAGAAACAAACAATGGAAAATAACAATTTTGTACTCCCATTTCAGTTATTTCGGCATCTATAAAAGCTTTTATTTGTTCCCAAAGAAAATAAGCCCATGGACGAAGTATATAGCATCCTGATACATCATAATTTTCAATTAATTCACCTTTACGAACAACCTAAAAAACCAAATTTTATTTGAAAAAAATTTTCTTTTTAAATTTCACTTACTTGTCCGTACCAATCAGCAAGATCTTCTTCTTTTTTAGCTTCAATACCAAGTCTAGAAGACAATTGTTCAATTCTTTGTTTTTTTTTGTCTTTTATTATAAAACTTACTTTGTGTGTTTTTTTAAATCAGTATGAGCAGATGCTGAGTTTTGTTCATGTTCCGGATTTTTTGCTGCTGGCTTCTTTTCTTTTTCTTTTCGTGGTGCTGCTCCACCACTTGATGGAACATCACTACCTGTTAATGTTTTATATTGCTCCTTTAATTTTAATAATTGTTCTACAGCAGCTGTGATTTCTTCCTTGAATAAAAAAAGAAAAGCATAGCTATTAAAAATAATGGTGTCGTTTTTTTTCTTATGACATACTTTGCTACTATTAGGATTACTTTTTAAATCACGAACATGATTACCTTGTTCATCTATACGAGATTTTAAAGCTTCGCTATCGAGATTTTCTTTGGAGGTCATCCTTTTAGATAATGCAAAGTGATATTGATCGGTGACGTGTTTATATAGTCATATTATTATGAACCAATACTTTTTTTTTCTCATTTTAAACCTTTCGATGAATACGTGTCTTCATCGTCGCTAGAGATCGCTAACTCTCGGAAATAAGTCTCATTATTATTATTATTATTTGACTCACTTTTGGTGTCGATTTATTTGCTTTAAGATCGCGAACTTTATCTGCCTGTTGAGTTATTTTTTCAGCAAGTTTTGCAGCTTCATCTGACGTTGCATTGGCTACTGGTTTTTTATTTTCTTTTTGTGCTGTTGCTCCTGATGCATTCAGTGGTTTATATTCACTACCTGTTAATTTTTTATATTCTTCTTTTAGTACTAAAAGTTCTTTTACAGCAACGTCTACAGCATCCTAATTGAAAGAAAAATCAATATTATGTTTGTTTTTATTATGCGTTACATTTGATTTACTTTGGATGCTTTATTTGCTTTTAATTCTCGAATTTTTTCACCATGTAAAACAATTCGTTCTGTTAAAAGATCTACTTCAGGCCCTGATACGATTGTTGCTGCCAATTTATCACCCGTGGATTTTGTTGTTGCATTATCAGTAGCTCTTAATGATGTTGGTTTTTCTTTTGTACCACCATCTGGAATATTAAGTAGACAGCACGGTTGTTGAGTTGCAGCATCATATGGAATATCGCATATATAATAGCCTTTACGAAGGATTTGAATGATATCACCTTGTTTCAATTGTGCCATTTCAGGTTCACCGACAATATCATATTCATTCTTAAAAAAGAGAGGAATTTTCTCTTAAACTTATATTAAAAAAAAAAGATTTTTCTTCTTTTTTTTTTTTGAATTCTAATCTTTACCTTTGATGCGTAGTTTACGAAATCTTCAAATGTGTCACCTTCATCAAGTTTTGCTTTAGTCATGATATTATCATAATGAATACATTTAACAGGGGTTAATGGTGCTAAACTTGTTTCAGCAAGCCATGTTAATTTAAGAGTATTTTTAAAATCTTTGTTATCTAATTGAGTTTCGCCTTCCATGAATTCGATTTCACCAGAATCATTCCTAAAAACAAAACACATAATAATACGAAGGACAATTTAAGATTATTCCTCTCTCTTTTTTCGAATACTTTCGGTTCTTCTCTGGGAGAGCACAATCGATCACACGAAGTAAGACTGAGATCATAAACCTGCCAAATTGTTTTTGAAGATCCATTCAAAAAGTCCCTGAGAATTTGTTTTCAAAAATTTTCTCTCGAACATAAGTCCCATTATTTTCGATAATCTAGCTGTAATACAAATTTGAGCTCGATCGATCATACTCTGGTGGAGAATAGAGGCGATTCAAAAGAGGAAGATGAGCATCCTTAAGTTAACTTAATGATATTTTGAGACCTCACAAACAATAAAACTTTGAATAATGTAGGAAAACTCATCGTTCTTATTGTCGTCTGCCATAAAACATATTTTTTGCATTTAAGATTCTCAGACTCCTCTAATGAATCGCATAGAAGAGAAGAAAAAAAGGTATTCTTTTTTAACAATATAAATCGATGTCACAATCATTTGTATCTCCTAAACATACAATTAAAATACATAATTTCTACAAAAAGTATTAAATATCCAGCAATTTGAGATGAAACTGTACATTGATACGATTAACGTTCTGTAAAAGAATAATTTCTTTTTAAACTTACTTTTGAATTCGATTAATTTTAATATTGCCCCAATTCATTAATGTAACAGTTTGTCCTGCATTGATAAGAACAGCATCATCTTTTTCAATAAATATGGTTGGACCATAATAAACATTTTTCATTCCAATATTTGCATCTTTTGGATGTTTTTGATGTTGTTGACATTCTTCTTTTGTTACATTTGTTAATTTTACTTTTACCAGTTGATGTTTTAATAATGCTGTAAGACGTGGTGCTACAGGATCAATTTGTTTTTTATTAAATGCCCAAATTTTATCCCAATCCATTAAAACAACAGATCGTGATGAACCTTGTGCAATTATAAATTGTCGTAGACCTTCAACAGTCATACCACGTCGAAGTATACCACGAACAGTTGGTAAACGTGGATCATCCCATCCGTCAACCATATGTGTATTAACAAACCATGTTAATTTTCGTTTTGATAATACTGTATATTGCATATTCAGACGTGCATATTCATAAATAAATGGTTTTCGAAGACCTAGGGAAAAAGAAAAACTTACTATTTTCAAAAAAAATAAAACATAAAAATATACCAAGAGCATCAAGAATCCAATAATACTGCTCATCTCGATCATGATATTCAGTTGTTCGTAGAGCATGAGTAACTAAATTTATAAAAATATAATAAAGAAAAATCTATTGAATTATTTCTTTTTACCTTCTTCGATACTATCAACAATTGGACAAGCAAAGTCATATGTTGGATAAACTCTTTTTTAAAGAAAAAAAAAAGGAATAATAAAAAATTTAATTAAATAATTTATTCTTACTTATATTTATTTCCTGTTCGTACATGTTCCTCTGGTTTACATCGATAAATAGTTGGGTCACGCATACAACCATTATTAGAATTCATATCGATTTTTAAACGAACACAACATTTTAGTCCTTGTTCATTTCCAACTAACATATCTGACCATAATTTTAAATTTTTTTCTACACTATTATTTCGATTAACCGATTCTTTTCGTTGTTCACGTTGTTGTTTCATTTCTTCTGGTTCAGTATCATCACAATAGGCTAGACCTTTTTCAATTAATATTTTACAATACTTAATTAAAGTATCAAAATGATCAGATGTATGTGTAAAACGATCATATTCAACACCTAACATTTTTAAGTCTTCGAGAATAACCTAAATTGATGATAACAAGTAAAAGAAAACAATGAATTGATGAAGAGCTAAGAGAAATTTATTTATTTTTTTAAAGTACCTGTTCAAATTCAGCAGTTTCTTTAGCTGGATTTGTATCATCAAAACGCATAATTAATGTTCCTTTAAACGTTTTTTGATAATGTTGATTAAGAAGAGCAGCTTTAGCATGACCAATATGTAAATATCTAATATTTAAAGAAATGATTTACTCAAAAAAAAAATATTCTTTATTATGAATATACAAACCCGCTTGCTTCTGGTGGAAAACGTACGATAACTTCACCTTCTTTAGCATCTGGTAAATCGACAAATTTACCTTCGTCTTTCATAGCTGGTTTTTGTGAGACACTACTAGTTTTTGATGTACTACTTGCCATGACCGATTCTAAATGGAACTGAAGAAATACGAATTAGTATTTATGTCAACATTTCATTTCTATTGCAACATATTAATGACAAGAGTGGATGATGCAATTGATGACGAGTGTCATCATCGATTTCTCTTCTCGTATTACTTTCGAAATTCTTCCTTAAAGAAATGATAGCAAGAAAAACATACGGAAGAATGTGTCTTTTTTATTGTTAGAATAAATTTGGACGGAGGCTGAGAGTATTTTTTTCGTATTATGAAAACTTTCTCGTCTAGAATTTGTTGTCTAACAACATCGATACAGTATGTAGTCTGAAGAACAATTATAGAAAACAATGAAACGAATCTAAGGTGATAAGAATTATTTAAAATAATAGAGGGAGGAAGGAAGAGAGAGGGAGAGCAATCAATTCGCTTATTCATCAAAAGAATTCATATTAGTAGTGAATTACTAAAAATAGATCAATACAGTTATCCCTACAAACAAGTCCCACCAATCAAAAGTGAGCATTCGTCATAATGATTCTTTAGCTATCTAAAATATAATTAAATATATTTCTAATAAAAACACAGCAATTTTTAATATGATGATAAAAAAAATTAACAGTTCTCATTCATAGATGGCGCCAGATTGCTGTCTTGATTCCTGACTGAAAACCTATACGAAGTTGTCTATGTGGTTCAAACCGTGAAAACACTGCAGATTAATTAACTGAATATTGATCGTGCAACTTTCAAGTTTACTACTAGTGAAACACTGATTTCTGCACTATATGTTCTAGTATTTTAAGAGGCTGTTCACCAAATAAATGTATACTCGAATAGATACTTATCTTGCAGTACATCTCACCATTACTGCCGTTAGAAGCAGCCAATTCTATTTATTCATTTCCAAATTAATTAACAACCTATCTAAATGAGTCCATCCTTTGACATGAGGATAAAGCTCGTTGCGTATCTGTTCAGTTAGTGCACACAGTTTCAGATTATTGTCGCTGGTTAGCGTAAGATCTACTTGGCACAGACGGCCATTTTTTATTTGTTGCAATTGACTAATACGAAAGATTGAATGCATGGAGAGAAGAGTTTCTTCTGTCTCTTCAGATTAACTGGTGCTACAGACATTGGTAATTGTTTTAGACACAATGGATGGATTCATTGTCACGACAAATAAGATACTAACAAGATTGAAGGGTTGAATTTTACAACGGACAAGATTAAATGATATTTGAAATTTCGTACCGGTTGATATGATATTGTTGATTGATAAAAATCTGCTATCTCTCTTGACTAATTGATCAAAGCCTGTCAGAAACAAACCTTGATCATGAAAGATAGCGAAAGATTTTAAATCTTCATATAGAACAAACTGTTCACTATGAAATGTAGCCATATAATTATGAAGATCTTGGATGCAAAATTTCATGTTAATAATGACATTAAGATCTATCATCTGTAATATGGTTGTGACTGAGGAACTTAAAGAATAAAAAAAACTGTATTAAAATGATGAAATGGACATAAAAATTGATTTATTTTAAATTCAATTCCTTATGTTGGTCCTGTTCATCAATTTAATTCTATGATTTTGGTTAAAAATCAAACTCATTGCATTGTTTGTATTATTAAAATGTTACTTTCGATACAGAAATTTGAGATATATCCTGTAGACTCTTCTCCATCCGTCTGTCAGTATCAGGGTGGAAAGTTGTTGAAGAAGTTGGGGCAATTCATTTTTCTCTCTCTATTCTTCTACACTCATTTACATTCATTTTTATAAAAAAAATGATTGCAAGTTGAATTCATCGTTTCGTAGATGAAAAATTTATTGAGAAAAAATAGATATTGACAGAAATCATGATGAGAATGGAACAGGGTCATTGGCCTGTAGGGAAGATATCGGTTACAGAGTATGGTTTCTGATAAGGATGTGTAGAAACTGGTCAATTGAATCTATTGTTGATTGAACATATTCATCGGAATCGCTGCACAAGTTGTACCTTTTCCTGGTCGATTACATTTATCCTTCTTGCAACACAATAACTTTTTGTATATGAACGGTGTTTTACGCATTTGATTGCACATTTTACTTGCTATTATAGTATAAGCCCATTTTGTTGTTCTCTTCTGTTGTTCTTCTAGTGTACAACCTTGATCATTACCTGTGCATAAAAATTTATATTTTGCACATACACATTCTCCTTGTTCACCACATTGTTTCATATCAGGTCCGACCATGCATTGAGTTCCAGAACCCATATAACATCGGATAGCATTGGATACGACAATACAAAGTAGAAAAAGTACTATGACAACACGCATCGTTTGATATGTACTGTTTACTGAAAATACGATTAGATGAATGAATGATACTATAAAGTTGGCGAAGAAGACGAAGAGAAAGAAAGACGGATGATAATGATGAGAGAAATAAAAGTACGGACTTTGTATCTTTTATTAATACTATCAACATGATGCTTGTTTTGGTGTTGCCCCCATAGAATCGAGGCAAACACATTACTTGTTAATATAAGCTTTGTATTCTTTCACAGTTTGAAAGGTAGAATATTTTTTTAATATTTGGGTTCAGTCTAATACGATTGTTTCAGAGTGACATTTTTCAAGGAAACGATCAATTTGCACACAAAAAATCTAATACTGTACATATACAGATGTATGTATCAAAAAGAAAAAGAAAATTGTATTTTGTTTTCCAATAGCGTCATATCAGTTGAATAGATTTCAGTTTTGAATCACCTCAAATACTAAGAGAATATTTTAGGATAAAACATTCGTTAACTAAGAGGCACTTTTTTGTGAGATTATAAAGTAAAATGATCTAACTGTATCCCCAAAACATATCATCGGATTTTATTATTTTTTTGATTGCTTGTGGTCATTGCTAATATCCATGATATGGTAATACTATTATACATACAATACAAACAGACATCTCTACTCTTATCACAAGATAACATCTGTACTTTTATCCTGCGAATACATATCTTGTTGACGTTTCAATCTGTGAAATATCCCATATGTTTACGAAAATCAGCAGCTATTAAATTTAATATTAAATAATCACATTTATGTTTGACTAAATACCAAATAAACATACTTGTTCAAATAAGGTATCATTGCCATTAATAATTTCGTGTTTAGCGAAACAATTAGGGTTTATCGATATTCTTGAATGGGTGCTATGAAAATGAATATATGATACATTCCAACTATTTCAAAGAAGAAGTCACCATTTCGAAGAATTATTTTTTACTTTCAGTCAAAATGCATATACACATCTGCATAGTCAGTGAAATGACGAAATTATAAGTCGCTGGCATGCATTAGTGTCGGAGCTACTTTTGTTCAGAATAAAAAAGTTCTGTAGTTACTTTATTATCTTCGATTGTACTCAAAAAGTACTAAAAAATAAGATCAATTATTATTGAACTAAGACTCAATGGGTAAATTTGATTTCATAAAGACATGCTAAAAAGTCATTGTCTGATTTCAGAATCAGACTATGCATAGAACATCTATCAAAAATTGCGACTTTCCTTATGCAATTTATTTATTCAAATATTTCACTTTCGTATAAATCTTAAAGTAGTGTCACGATAGAAAGTATTAGAAAACTTTTGTATCATATCGATAAACATGGCCAAACTGCAAATATTTCATGAATAATTTTAAAGCCGTTCTTCAATAATTTTATCTTAAGACATCATTACCATAGGATGAGAGTATTTTCTCATTTTATTTGTTATAGTTAAATAAGACCACTGGAGAAATTATTGTAGAAATAGACATATTTTGTTCTTAGTAAAACACCAAACTTCTACTATCAACAATACTATTTTTTGTATTAAATAATGATTCGGTCAGTGCAGATGTCTTTCAGTCAATGTGGTGACACTCATGAATCTTTTTCTTGGTTGTTCTACAAAAAAAATAGTTAAAACAAAAGATTTAATCATTGCGCCAACTAAAATAAAATTTACTAATAATTAAAACTAAAATAAACGCAACCAAACTGACCTCAACCTATTTAAATATAGATGTAAAGTGTAAGACTTGGATAACGAAACAGTATATCATGATTACATATAATGTAATATATATACTCGAAAAAAAATCCATTCGCTTTCTTTTTAGTTTATTGTTTGTCATATATGGCAAAGTAATGTTTTCAGAACAACCTTAAAAAGAAGTAATTATGCTTGTTCATCAATTTAATTTTGACTATTTTGACATAGTACATCCTATGGATTCTTGAAATATTCTGCATTTTTTTGTTAATTTTTATACTTATTGACGATATTGGTTTAATCATGAATAATTATTCAAAGACTTACGATTTCATTGAAAGCTATCATCTCCTAAATCGCAAAAGAACCAAACTGTTCTAGTTAAATGATCATCAACGAATGAATGCATGATTTTTCAGAAAAAATGTTTTTCGAAAACTTTTACTTTGTTGGTTTATCGTATTCCCAACGAATCTGTCTATGTCGTTATCAAATCATTAATTGTATGAACAACGGTATTGACTCTGACTTATTTAAAACTATTTTGCCTAATCAATTACAATTGTTTAGTAAGAAAATGAGCCATAAATATTGATGATGATCATTTTAAATGATCCATTTTGGAGAATATATATTTTAATGAAAGGCAGTTTTCGTATAGGTCACATTGTTTGAGAACGAGACATGATTATTTGTAAGCACCATAATATTGATAGGTGTTTCTTAATCATACTACTGACTGCTAAAAAATGAGGTCGAAATCTGGCAATCAGTTAGAGTACTTCTCGGTATCACAAATAACAATAGCATTAGTTTATGTTTAGAAAACATATTCTCTAAATTTTTGATAAATATCTGAGCTGCTGATTCTTATAAAAAACATATTGTAAAAGTGAGAAGCATTCGATTAATGCCGAGAAAAATCATTATCTCTGCCTCTTATTGCATGAGCTAAGAATTACAGAAAACCCTATAATTGTTCGAATACTTTTCGAGTAAATGTAAATTATACAGATAAACTTTATTTTATATTCAAGACGATTTTTGAAATATGGTGGGCCTATTTCCATCTATGTTGAATGATATTTAGATGTCTTTCTTCATATTTATTAACTTTTGATATTAATAAAATAATATTGGTAAAATCAAGACTTTGTTTTTACAATTTCAAGATCTTCTATTGTCTATTTTCTAACATTGTACCCATTTGCACAGAATAGAAGCTCGATAAGATGATCAATATTTTTTAAGCAGTATTTTCTACTTTGATTGTCATATAAAAACAGAGATTCTAGCTCTCATTAACTCCAATGAGTGATAAGTGATATAAAGAGGATTTTGAAATTTCGTCCAAAGGTTTTAGGCAACTTATGATAACAGGTAATAACTCTCTATGTGATACTTATAAAACCTATATAATACGGAGTTATCACCATGTATTTATAGTTTTCACTATTTCCATGTTAATGAAAAAAAAATCCTATCTTTATCAAAAAGCCATTTCATCAATTAATGTTACTGTAAAATCGCATTGATTTACACTACGATCGATAAATCACAGTTTACCGGTGAATTTAGTAAAACTACCGTAAATCAGTGGTATGTTTAAAAAGTGACGATATGGAACGTATTACAGTTTTAAATTGCCATTGAATTTAAGGCTGTCTCATTATTATGCACTATTAAGTAGGAAGTCTATTGAATTTTCAAAGACTTTCTTTAAGTTTAATATTCGGACAGAGAAATAGCTACGAAGAATCTTACCTAACAATTATCGAACTCGTCAAGTAGTACCAACCAATATATAGCGGGTGTCACATAAATAATTGCCCTCTTAGTATTTTTAAGATTTCTCCTCTATTGTTCCTTTGATTAAAACATTCTTTTTTATCAAAAGATAGCACTTGAAATTCTCTACAAAACCATATATGACTAGACCCCAGAACCGTTTTAGATATATTTAAAAAAAAGGTGAAAAATAAAGACATGCAAAAAACTGTAAAAAGTAACTGGTTGTACATAATGAATGGCCGCGCTTTGCATCCCATTTTTTCATCACTTACTTCGCCCTATTATAAAAAC